TAAAACGAAGTGTCAACATGAAATGTGGTTTTCGCTACGCCCACAACAGACGCGTAGAAATCAAGCTGAAACTGAAACCAAACACTCAATATTGTAATGCAGCGCGTCGCCGCTGCACGCAATCGACCGTCTAATAAAGGCAGATCGTACTGTTCTCACACGATCACGGCAAGCATCGAAAGTATGAAACACGAGGACTAACGTGGTCCGGCGCTTCCTAAACATGCGTAGGAGTTTGTTTAGATTACTTCGGATTTCACAGCTTACCTTCGGCCTGTCGATGAATGTTCTTCAGCCACAGGTTCCGCACATCCGTGATCGGGAACTCGTGGAACGATATTCCTCGTGATGCGGCCGTGCGCCCGCTTGATTTGCAGAGCGGTACGCAGCAATAAACCATTGCGCAAGTTGCACCGTGTAACTACTTCGCCCAACTTCTTTCAACCATAGCTAATAGTTGAGGTAATACCAAGAGACGTGCATGCAAATGCACAAGCCACGACCGTGGCACAAGCAAACGCGCCGATCACCCTCGCCCGGCAGCATACGCAGTCGCGAGGATGGGAGACGTGAGGATTAAAAGCAGCGCCACGGCTTGCAGCGGCGCTCGCGGAAACTATAATAACACAACAAGCAAAAAAAAAAATCACGGACACGGCGCTGGTGGCGGATGCGCAGGTCGCTATTTATAAAGCCGGTCGTGGTTGAAACATAAGAGGCGGGGCCAGTACAAGCAAACAAACAATAAATGATAAATAAATGGAAAGGGCAAACTAGACATGGCTACATGTGCACTTGAAAGAATAGAAAAAGAACACAAAAATAAACAAGTGTCAATGGTTTAGGACGCGATGATTACGCCGCTAAAAGGGGAATATTCATTTGCTTCGGAATGAAAAGGAAAGTGGTCATGGACAGCAGATGTCAACTCGGAGTGCGTGTTTATTTGTTCAGAACGTTATCTTCTAGCTATGCTTACTTATCCTAATCAACCGGTGTCAATAACAACGCGAGCCGGTGTTGAACCGGCCCCGTCGCAGCCGCTACGTAAAAGAATGACACAGATTCGATGGAGCAAAGAAAGCGACACCCAGTTGTCGTTTTGGGTACGAGCGCCGTAACCGCGTCCAACAGAGCGACATGAGAAGCCAAGTGATAAGACGGGACGCGCATGCGCCCTTGCAGCAGGTGTCTCGTCGTGTCTCGTCGCTAGCTGGCGCGTCGATGCATTCTGCCACGCGATCCCGTGGTCTGCACACTTTTGATCGCACCTGTACAAGTGATGTTAAAGAGAACGCCAACGGCCTACAAGGTCATATAATCTGATAATGTTTGCATAGAGGAAGAAGCAAGTGTGGAGATTCACACAGCAATCATAATTAAAAAAATTTAAGAAAAAATGTTGCCTTTTACCAATTCCACCGAAAAGTACGCAAACGCGGCAATTCGCCCCTTCTTTAAAAGGGGGATAGCAAAGCCAGCGATTCCGGTCAAACCATGCCAGCAGCCTTTTTTTGTCACTTTTTTATAGCTGCATGTGAAGGAGGCACGCACAAGCATGCTAACGTTAACTTACCTCTGCGTTCAAGATCGCAACATGCTGCAAGCACTTCAGCAGCTTACAGTTCAGCAAGCACGCTTTCTGTATCTTGCGCTCGACATCGGCATGGTCGGAGCTGTAGTAACATGGGGACACCTTGACCATGTACACCACGGAGGCCACATCAGCGGCTTGCGGTTCAGCAAGCAAGCTTTCTTTGTCTTTTGCTCCACACCGGCGTCATCGGAGCTGTAGTGACATGGGGACACCTTGACGACGTGCACCATGGAGGCCACATCAGCGGCTTACGGTTCAGCAAGCGCACTTTCTGTGTTTTGAGGTTGCAGAAATACAGTCAGCGTCATCAGCAGAGGTAGGGCCAACGTTTATAGATACTTTTTCAGTTTCGGAACTCCCCGCTTCGCCTACAGGGAGCGGGCGGCCGGCTGCAGTTCTCGCCACAGCGGCGCTGCAGTCGAACTTTGCGCCACGCAAACGAGGGTCGTCTGCTACTGCTAGGCACGTTGTGCAGCGTTTACACGACGATTTTAGGTTAAGAAAGAGCCCTGCAGCGCAACTCCTTGTTATAGGCACGAGGAGTATAATTTCGGGCCTAGATACGCGAGTTACGTCTTTCCGGGACCTCGGTAAAAACAGTAGCTCGCGCAAGCATAGTGCCAGACGTGCACTTGTCGATTAAAGAGCCGTTTCGCTGCCCTGTAATTTCTTGTTTTAGATACTAGAAGCAAAACTTGGAGCTCAGTTGTATGAGCTACGTCTCAACGAAGCCTCGGTAAAAGCTGCGACTCATGTTTCCTACCGATTGTTATTTAAAAGCTGTTTTCGCGAGTCTTAGCATAGGGATCTTAGACGCTCGGTAAATTAACCTTTCAGCAATAAGCACCTCAGCGTGCCGTGCCCTAAAGGAAGTTGAAACTGAGCCTTTGCTGTAAGGTACGACCTTAGTTGAAAATCCCACTAAAACGACGTTATTTCTCTGTTCAGGTGACATGAACCACTGCGCTTTCTTTCCAAGTATTCAGGTTTCTGGATGTCTGTCAACTAGTGAATAATATTTAGGATCATTCAAACAGAAAATGCAAATTTTGTGGAAAGAAGTAGGAAAACATCAATATATTGACACAAATACTTGCCACTATCACGCACTAGTTCACAAGTATATTGCCTTTAACTCATGGAAAGGAAAATGCATCTTTATTAAAGCACACTTGTCATGAGCATTCGAATTTCAGACAAGTTTGGCCTTCTTTCTTTCTCTCTGTGCTTTGTTGGCCCCGTCATTGTCTTGGCACTTCTGTCTTGCAAAGAAATGCATTCTAATTACAATGTAGACGTGAATCAACTGTGCAGTAAATTCACTGTAGTGTTGTTTGCAACCAACAAAGCTGGTGCCTTTCTGAGTAAGTGCATCCAAAACTTTCCAAAAGAGGTCACCAAAGGAATAATTTTTCGATTCCTGGCTGATGACGTACTCCACACTCCTCACGCATTCGAATAGTTTCTTGAAGGGGTACACAAGGTTGCCGCTCACGTATTCCCTTTCCAACACCAACAATGCTTCAGAAGGAAGGGAATCCTGCGCACCTACTGCTTCTTTCTTGCATTCAGTGCAACGTGTGGCTTTGAGGACCTTGTGAACTACATATCCAGCTAAATAGTACAGCGCTGTCTTTGCTGGTATAGGGACGCTGTACACATGGTCTTCAGGTCTGTTGCTGCACTCCCTTAGGGGTATGGATGTAAGACGCCTCCAAACCTCTTCCTTGAGGCTTTTCTTTTTCTGCAGGGCTTCACAGCGTTTTGCCCCGAGACTCTCAAACGTGCTTATCAGGACTCGTTCAGTGCCCGCCTGGCCAGCTTCGCAGTTTCCTTTGGTGGCTAGTTTGATTGGAGTGTACAGTGCGAGAAGGCGGAACAGCTGACTAAATTTGGCCACTGTGGGGTGATCTTCGTCGCGTCCAAAGGACCTCACGAGGCCAAAAAAACGCTGAAAGAAACAAGACATTCCTGATGAATATTGCGACAAGTAACATGACAAGCTCTTGCTTTACCTCAAGTGGGTCCTGGTTGAGGCTTGCAGTAAGGATGTAGTTCACACCCTGGCCCAGCAAGAAGTCAGTAAGTGACAAAACGGACATAAGTCCGTTTTGTCACTCCATAATTTGACTCCATAATTTGTCTTGATGCAAATAACTTCATATTCATTGCCTCTGTTTGATTCATCATTTCCAGGAAACGCTGGAGAAACTGCAAAGAACATAACGATGAAAGTGGCAAATGCACTAGCAGCAAGGAACCAAGCAAAAGCAGAAACATATGCCGCCACAAGTATACAATAACAGTTTTAGAACCAGTGGTGTAGCACAAACCCAGTTATTACAAGCCAGCTTTGCCATAAAATGAGTGAAGCAAAATTTTTTTCAGTAAATGAAGAATTTACGTGCACAGCATACCTTTATCTTTGGAGAGCCGTTTCTTATTCCAGCTGCAGGAATTTTTGAATTGAGGATGTCAAAAAGGTCATTCAAAAGTAATGTGAACTCCTGTGTTCCGGCACTGTCAGCGAATCCTGGCACGTTCAACTGGTGGTACACTTTCAAGCCGATCGAGACACTGCGGCTGAAAAGCTGCAAAAAAAAGAACCATTGCCAGAATATTAATTATAAAACTTAAAACAGCATAAATGCATGACCAACCTATTCATAAGAGGAAACAGAGTTTTTGCACATGCGATGTGTATTCAACATTAAAATGTTTGCTTGACTTAGCAAGGTGTCAAAGCGTCTGCAGGAGGGTACCAAAGTAAAGAGGCAGCCAATGTGCTAATACGATACCTGGGTGGCTAGGCGGACACACACTGTCTGAAGCTTCTGCGGCTTGACATGATATTCAGTTAACTTTGGCACAACTTTGATGGCTGCTTTCTTCTCAGCCTCGAAAAGCCGTTCATAATGCTGGTAATTAGCTTCATGGTCTCCTATCTGTAATAGAATGGCATACAAAATATCTGCACTGCTTTTCCATAACCTAGAGGTACCACTGCTGCGTCGGTAACAGTGTGCTTTACTCACCTGTCAAAGTTTGTGTTTCATCATATGGTTCCTAATACACTTCATTATGTGTGGCACATCACATATGAAGTGAAGGAATGTGCCTTCTGGAAGGCATGGGTGTGCCATTTTGCACTTTGGTTGCTGAAGCTTGCCGCTTGTTCCCAGATGAGTCCACATTGACTTGTTGTTTCCAGCACCGTCACTGATCACTGCCAGAACACTGGGCCCATGTTCATGCAATTGTAGCACAGAGTTTATTACAACTTTAGCTAAAATCCACCCGGGTGCTGCTCCTTTCGCAGCGAAAGTAGCAATAGGCTGCACCCATGATGCAAACATTGGGTTGAACATGACCACCAAAGCATGGTCCGCAAGCTTGTCACTGTCTACTTGAATTTGTCGAGCCTTATCTTCTTGCATGGAACAGGAGCTGATGGCCCATGCCACTTCTTTGCCTGTGATTCATTCTCGACTTTTGATGGGCCCAATGGTCGCTTCCTCGAAGGTGTTGATACCTTTCCCTGTTGCCTCAGCGTGCAGGCAATGTCTGCTTTGAATGTTAGCAGGGTCATTTGGTGCTTGCAAGGCACGCTAGCCACGGTGGCATCTCGGTGGTAGAGGAGCCAGTAGTTGACAACTGCTACATCTAATAAATAAAAAAAGAGCCTCCTGTACCACTTTTTTGACCTTATGTGGATGCGGTAGAGTGCCACAAGCATGTCCATAAGATCAACACCACCCATGCATTCATTGTAGATGCCGACAATAGCAGGGCGGGGTATGCTCACAGTCGTTCGGGTCTTCTTGTCGATGCGCTTCACGGCCTGCTCGGGTGAAGCTGAAGCAAACGTGGACAGTAGTCACGGACAGTCACGGGGCGGTTGTCAAACCACTTAACAGCCCTCAGGCTCACCCCTTCAAATGTGGTCGCCATTTCCACGTAAGAGCCACGCCCTTTCTTCTTCAGATCTTTGTCGGATGGAAGTTTGCATCCTTTTAGGCGAGCCTCGCGTACTGTCCCTACGGAACTGATTCCAACCTTCTTGAGGACTACTTGCAAGTCCATGCCGCAAAACCAGTTGTCAAAATACAAGATGTAGTCTAGACCGCGGGGCACGATACTCGCCATTCGCAGGACGATGTTGCCGCTTGCGCCGATGTCGTTAAAACCTTGCTGAGGAAGAATTTTGCCTGTGTAAACTTCAAAGTTGTACATTGTGCCACGTTTATCGCAGAGAAGGAAAAGCTTATAACCCCATTTTTTGGGCTTGTTAGGCAAATACTGCTTCAATGAGCTGCGGCCTTTGAACGGCACCAGCTGCTCAACGCATAGCTTTTGAGATTTTGGTATCTCGCGGCATTTGGCGACCAGGTGGTCCAACAGGGGCCGCACTTTGTAAAGCCTGTCACGTTCGGGGTCATTCTGGTTTGGTGCTTCCTGGTTGTCACTAAAATTCGGCGACTGCTTGATTTCCCACCTGTCTCTCGTCATGGTGTCGGCGACTTGACCGACTCGGAACCTCTGCGACCAGTACATGCGTGTTTGAGGCAGCTTCATAAGCGACATAGTGAGCACTGTACCGATGAACTGCTCTAAATCATTGGCTGTCATTGAAGCAACTTTGTTTGGATTCCTCTGAGCGCTATACAGGGAGGACTGCTCACAGATGTGAGACAGGAATGTCACGTCAAAGAAGTTTCTGAAATAGGTGATGGGAGACTCCACCGGGGAAGGGTAGGGTTGTGCGTCTTTCCACTCAGGCATGGCATTACTCGAGGAGCCTCGGACAGCCTTCCATGTGGGAGAATCCTTCGAAGGCTTGGGGATTTCTTCAAGCCTTCGAGCGATACTGGCCGTGCTTGGAGCTCCTGAGACCTTTTCATCCTCACTGTCAGCTGGTAATGCTGTAAAATTGCACAGAAAATGGTTGCGATGTCAACAAAGTGCAAGAAAAAGCCAACAAAATTACAAATAGTAATTACTCTTGTAAATTTCATCAGTGCTCTCTGTGTTCAGTAAAATCTATTTTATGCTAAAGAAAAAAGTTGCCGAAATACTGTTTCGCTAGCTGGCCTAAACAATGACACTGTTTGAAACACACAGAGCCAGCCTGCTGCAAAGCGTAAACGGAATGCCAGACTATCAGCGTCCCACGCAGAGCTGCCGAACTTGGGAACACCTAGAAGTGTCTGCCATGAGAGATGCCGACAGCCTCAAGTGGAAGCGCTGGGCCACACAGCCTTTTGTAATACTAGCAACCCCTTCCTTCACCTCCATCCCGCTGCGCTTTTTATGCAAGAGACCGTACTTTATTCGTCAATCGAATGATAGCGTAGTTCCGACTGACACGACAAAATAAATACTTACTTGTCCGGGCTAAAACAGCGTTTTTAGGCTCTTCGTCGCTCGATGAATCCAGGTCAGAGTCATCACTGTAGTCGGGGGGCACTTTCGCAGCAAATTTTCCATAAAATGCACCCGGGTCCATTCTTCAAAATCGTTGCTTTGTCTGCGTGTCCTGCGTGAAGTGGGGCAGCGATAATGGAAGCAGTGCAGGCAGAGAGGCGTGCTACCAGATAAAATTGCACAGCGCAACCTCAGCGGGATGAGAAACACAGCATAGTGCCTGGTGTTGCCTGTAGGCAACAAACACCTCACGCGCCCGTACAGGCCCAAATTAGCAGCGCCGTTTATATAATTTGACATTGAGGAAAGAGAGGCATTTTTCTAAGCGATTGCAAAAAGCCAGAGAGAACAACGAATGCTTACCCGGAAACAGATGTTCGAACGCTGAAGTCTCGTCGTAGAGCGCTCTGCAGAGATTTGCGCGCCAAACTTCTTTTTTCTCTTCGTCGATTTCTTAGTTACAAATCAGAGGGCGCCACACATCCATGTGGCAGTAAAATGGGGAGACTTTGGAGAGAAAAAGAAGATCGCGAAACCGAAAGTGAACAAAAAAAATATTTTCCGCTATGTTGCCTGTGGGCAACGTTCGTCAATAAAGGGTTAAATTTGTTTGAGGTCCTTAAGAGTCCTTGAGTTTTGTCAGTTTGTTCAGCCATAACCTAGTGGATTTTTTTTCACGCCTGGCAACTATGTGCTCTCTAGCCAAAAAACCATCTAATTCAATCCGTTTCTGTAGCCACATATTGCAGTGTTGTTAGTACAGTGTACTCTTCTAATAGACTGCAGTTGTGGTAACGCTTGGGTTGTTACAGCAGCGACGGCGCTAAGTCTGGCTTTTTTGTGGAGACTGTGCATGTGCGCGCAGATACTTGCAGCCACGTCGCTTATGATGGAACTATGCCGGGCAAGTGCCAATTCCAGCTGTTTTGGTTATGCATTGCTGCTTATAGGGAGTGGACTGCATCAAATACGTCAAACTTGCATCTGGCAAAGTTTTCCGATGTGGGAAGAGCTTTGATGTGTCATCAGTGAGGAAGTTTGCCCTTGAAAGTCACTTGAAGAGTACGAAACACATTGCGAACACAAAAGCGACTACAGTCCATGGTAACTTAGTGCATTCATGGTGCCAAACGTACAAAATAAAGTACAAATTTTTATATTGTAAGAAGTGCCGTTGTCATTTCCCGTGTTTTCAAGTATTATATTAGGTCCTTGAAAAGTACTTGTTTAGGTCCTTAAAAATGGCAAATGTGGCTGGAAGTGGCATAAAAATATAGCAAAGGCTCCATGCTCACCATGCCAGTCTTCTTTTTGATATTGTCTCGCAGGTTTGGGTACTTTTGAATCCGCTGCTCCACAGCTGTACTGTATAGCTCCTTGGAAGAAAGCCTAGGAGAGAGACGTATACTTCATGCTAATAGTACAGCATGAAAATATAAGCAGTGTAAAAAATAACTACATGCAGAACAGAATTCCCAAATTATTTTGACAATTTCTCTATGGTTACAAGCAATGATAAGTAGCCATTATTTCTCCAAATCAGCAAATGGCCAGGCATAAATACGAGAGAAGTTGAACAGAATATGCATGCATAAAATAATGAAATTAGTTTGAATGGGGAGGTCCTCTTGAGGGAACATTTTCACACATGTATGCTGCCTTGACGCCGTAACAAGTGCACTTGGTGAAAGGCTGGCTCGAAGTGATGTGCAACACGCCTCCTGTCCAAACTAAAAGTAGGCACTCGCAAACCTGAAGGTCACTGAGAAAGACCATGCAATGTACATGTATGAATTCAAGACACCAAGTTCTGATTAGCACATTTGAAGTCGTTACATTAGAAAAACTAGGAGCTCCTGCATTTTCCCTAAGGAAAATGCAAAATGCAGGAGCTCTAAGTTTTTAGAAATTTTGGCATCTGTGTGACGATCCATCTAGACTACATAAGCTCTGCTCGTAAAAAATATCTTCGTAAAGACAAGCGTGCCACAACACATTTATGAAAATAAAAATAAAAAATTAATCTACAACCACTTTTAATTAACTGCGCAGCTCACACTTGCATCATTAAAAAGGAGTATTAGAAGTAAGGGTGCACTTAATGTGCCTCGCAACAATGATTCTCGGTTGGCTCGCTCGTGTTTCCTTTCTTTCTCGAGACTCTGCGCTCGTTTCATGCCTATTGAAGAGCCCAAGTCGTGTTGATAGCAGCCTCCTGTTTGCAACCTTGAAGCACCCGGCACATGGTGACAACACAAGAAAGTCATATGACGTGCATCATTATTCCTGTGCAACATGAATACCTGCTGTATGCTTTTGCTTCTTGAAAGGAAGTTGTAATTATTCAGACAACAAACAAGAGGAACCAGCGGCATGGGACTCGGAACCAACGTTGCAGCTAATGTGCAAACCATAACTTATCTATGACATGTAATGTTTGAAATCAAAGGCTGTAACTCCATCTGGCATCACAATAATTAGGAGTAACGAAAGAACCGAATTGCAAAAGCCAGGGAAAGTATAGGGGATGTTAGTTGTGATTATGATGCTTGTGAAAAAAGTAGGACAAAAAGATAACTAGCCACTGGCAGAGTTACCTGCATGTTACCTTTTCACCCCCTTTGCTTTCTTTAAATTTACGTTGCTATTCTTGCAAGTAACATCTTTTACACTTTCTTTAGCTTTTCGGTCAGTTAGTTCTAATTAACCTTATGCTTAGCAAAGAAAAAGAAGCCCTTAAAGTTTTCCTTCTTTTGTTCATCTGGCGCTACAGTAAGTCAGAAGCATTATATACCTTACTATTTCAAAGCAGACTTGGAAAATCCTGTTCACGATGGCCTGCCTTACAGGCCCCACAACTGGCTCTCCTTTTTGGAGAATCTCCTCATATGGTCCAAAAGAAGGAAGTTTGAACTCCAAGTAGTCGTACTGTTTTTTAGAGGTACGTGTGCTTCCAGCAGCTCTGTTGTGCAGATGGAGTCAGCATCAAAACTGAATGTTAGTGCCAATTTTGAAGCTCACAGAATATTAAGCACTGTTTCGCAGGTAACAAACATTGCAGCACCTTTTATATGGTGACACAGTGGAAGTAACTTGCTCAACAAGTGTTCTGTACTATTCTGTAATGTGCAGATTTGCATGTGTAAAGTTTTAGATCTTGCCTCTGATTAAAACTCTTGTGAAGGCTCATGTTCACTGGAGCTTCGGCAGCCCTAGCTTCATTGACTGCTGGTTGAATGCACAATAAGGAAACTTTATAGCTGTAGAGCTTTTTTATTCATACCACAACAAGCATTGTAAACCACAATATCTGTGGAATTTTGTGAATTTGTGCGTTAAACGGAATCGAGAATAAGGATAGTACACAGTCCTTTTAAAGCTTGCCAGGAAAGGTCACAGCTCAGCGAAAACATGTGAAAAGAAATTTTATCATGCTTAACTGCCCTGAAAATGACCAAAGTTTCACGAATATATTTTATCAGAGAAAGGTTTGTGCATCCTAGAACATGAATATGATAGAACATACTTCAGTAAGTTGTGGTAACACATTGTGTGACGGTGGCTATGAAGGGAATAAAAATTGCATCAAATCCTGTTTCAATTTTTGAAGAAATTTTGCCAATAATTCACAAGTACCTGACAATTACTGGCCAGTGAACAAGTCAGTCAAGATATGTTTTTGCGTTAATAACCAGATTGACGGGCACCTTTAACCTTAGAACTTATGAGCTTCTGGAAGCTTATTATGAGGTGGTGCCAGTCTTCTTTTGCAAGATTTTCTGGAGGCACAAGCAAACGGCACTCTGCTTGCAAGAAATGAAAAATGCATAGCAGCAGGCTTTGCTTAGGACCGGACACCTTGTAGAGAATCCGTCTCTGGACGGGAATGCCGCAGGTGAAATAATGAATATAGGGTGAATTAAATATAAGACAAGTGAAAAGAATGTAATTTACATTTTCTCATAGAAACCATCTATTTGCTTGATATGCTCACAGGCCACATTCAATGAGTAAATGTAGCTGCGGTTGTGGTACATTTCAATCCACATCGCTTTCACAATCGTCCACTAGTTCCTCGCATAAGCCTGTGGTATTGGAAGATTTTAACCCAAATCACATTGACAATCGCCCTTTTCTCGAGAATGCGGAATAAGCGGGCCTCTCGTTTGTCGGGCTTCTCATGGCGAGGCATTCGCAAGCTTTCTGCTCTTGTTTTCTGGAAGTTTACAAAAACTGTCGTGTCAACTTCTGTTCCTCTAGGAGCTGTGCCAGCAGCAGCGTGTCCTTGTGGTTCCGCCTGCTTTCACTTTCGATGCAGTTGGTAGGCTGCGGAGTTCGTTGTGCCTTCATCCTTGTGCTTTCTGCAGTTGTGGTGGAGATGCTGGGCGTTGCAGAAATAGTCGGCGCCATTAGTAGTGGTAGGGCGGGGGAAACGGCTCAGCGAGGCTGGCGACTGGGGCTAGGCAAATCAGGCTCGCCGCGAACTGCTACTCCTTCCAATGCTGTACACCACGCTGTGCACGATCTTAAAGAAGAAAAAAACAAATATACTAGACTTGGTGCCTGTATTGTGTGTGCACCCATTCATGTAGTTGTACATGTGTGTTGTCATTTTAGAATACTACGAGACTGTTGTGTACACGTTTTAATAATCCCCCGAGGAGAGCTTCTGTTGTGGCACAGTTGCACTGGAGAAACTTGCGGTTGCAGAAAGTGAACAGTGGCTGCGGGCACGGCAATGTCATACAACACATACACACATGCACTCCTCACAGAAGGCACTGGCACATCGCCGAAAAAGACTAGCATAGGCCAAGCAGAGGTCCAAACCGAGGACGTTGAACGGGGCAAAGAAGGTGCCAATGACTGGTATATAAGATGAGCCTTGATTTCTCATTGTGTTTTTTCAGAAAAAAAATTCACCTATGTTCCGGTTTTTACTGTTGGTACGGGAGTGAAAAGATGAAGAGTAAGGCCCTTTCGACGGATATACAAGACCGCGCCAGTCGCGCTGCTCTGTGAACCCTGGCGGCAGTCTATTCTCTGCTGTCTAAAATGCGTTTAGAATGACCCTGCATGATAAACAGGCAAACTTCAAAACTCGTTTCCTTGCTACTTAACTTGCCATATAGTAGACCATTCGCGAGTCGGTTTTTTCCACAACCTAAGACAAGTAGTGAATAGAAAAATTTGGGGTTGAAACAAAACATCTCTGTGCTTCATCTAACTTGCCTTGTGCCATCAGTTCATCAGTTTTCTTTGGTGTGACGCCTGCATTCGTCTAGACATGCACATTGAGCAGTGAACTGATGATGCCGAGAGTCGGATGGGCACCACCAAAATTTCTGCCCATATTGTAGAATAAAAGGCAGTTTGCAGTGATCAGAAGTTTCTCTGGCAGTGGGTGAATGAGAGGAAATCCTCTGGATTGGAACAATACTAAACAGGCAGTCTGCAGTGTCGATACTGAGACGCGATTGAAGTTGAGAGAGTTGTAGTTTGCAAATGTGGGCATCGCCCAATGTTTGGAAGGTCCAGGGACGTTGACTAAATCAAATGTACGACTCTGAGCATGCTCATCCATTTCCACAACTTCTGGCGACAACTTCGCACATTGTGCTTCTCGTTGTAAACGCTGCTTCTTGATGTCGCCGATATCTTGAGGTGATTGGTTTTTCTTGTGGAGTATCTGTGTGCAGGCTTTTTTGAGAAATTGTCAGGGATTTATGGGTACTCGGTCTAAGATACATGCACTCTCCATTTCGGGGGGAGTGATCAGACAACCAATCCACCTGGCGTGCTAAGTGTGGACATGTAGACAACAAAACGCAACTCGCGAACAATCAATGAATTCTGGATGAATTGTGAGCCATCGTGTATGAAAACTGTGTTTTTGTCTGCACTGACATTTGTTACTCAAAGCCAATGGTTGGGGTTTCGAACATGTAAAATTTGAACGAAAAACCTTCGATTTGAGTGAATTGTAAACGTTGGTCCAGTTAGAGATATTCAAAGCCGATACAAGTAGGATATTTTTTCTTAATTGAATACTGTGCGAGATTTAGAACGCTATGTGATATGGAGGTGCCCTATACCAGAACATTTAAATCTGCATATAAAAGAGAATACCTTTTGTAGACGTTTAGCATGTCTGTTTTAAGCATCGCAAGGCCTACTTTTTTTACTTGAATTAGGAAAAATTTACACTTGAGAGCTTTCACTTTTATTGGTTGCCCCCTTCTTACTTTAATTGAAGGTACCACAAGTTTTATACTGTTAGAATGCCCGAGATAGATTGGGGCAGTAGTTCGTGCTAACTGAGCTAGTGCAGCTTTTACGCCTGCAGGAGTTTGGTTATGAGGAAATGTGGTTAAATTTCTGAAGAAAGCTTTGCAGGATGAAAGTTTTTCCATTAACTCCTTCTCACCGCAATTCGATAATGCGTTAGTCATGGTTTCGAACGTTTCACAAGGACTGTTATAAGCATAAGCATACTTCTCTTGTGCTGTGTCAAGCTTCACACAGGGTGGTGACTGAATTCTGCTTGGTACCACTGGTGTGTCACTAATCGTTGCATAGCTGTCACTCGGGAAATGATCCTTGCACTATCTGTCCGGTATGAAGGCGTTGTCGTAAAGATCTCGCTTGGTAAAGTTACGCACTGCTAAAATATGTGCGCAAGGCAGAGTGTACTGGTCATAAAAAGCACAAGTGCAAGAAGTCAAGCGTAACTCTGTACTGTAATCATGGTGAAACTACTAGAGAAGAATCAAAAGTGGAAGTGACTTGATAACTTACATTTTTGAACATCTCGTACAGCTCTAGTGCTTTACTTGTAGCCTCAGAAGTGCAATTACAGGACTATTCTGGCTGAATTGGGTCATTGAAATGATTTGTGTATAGGCTCAGCTTCATTTCTTTAAGTTTGGAGAACTGTAGAGATAAGGAATTATTATCTATGTAACCTACCAATGCTTCTATTGCTTGAACCAAATGCATCCTTGATGAGGTATAATCTTTTGATTGTGGCACTCAAAGAGATTATTCGTATTATTACCAAAGGTAGGAAGGGCTTGCCGATGTGCATATACCCAGGTTTCTTTACACAAGTGCTAGTTATGCATACAGTAAGAAATGAAATTTGTGCAAGTCGTAGCTTGGAGGTCCGAAAGCTTGTCGGAGTTGTTTTGCACAGTGGCGGAATAAACTAAACTTTTTAAATGAAAGCGGAAGCCACTGATCATGTTGCTGTCTAGCCTTTTCATTTACCTTTTGCTGGAAACAGTGCAACACATGTCACGTACACAGTTATATGTTAAATTGGGAAGCATCTCGATTAAAACGCACTGTTCATTCAGATCTTTATCAATCATCACAACTTTGTAAGTAGGCAACAAATGGGATAAAATATACAAACTTTAGGAACATAGGCTCAGCAATATCAGTCATCTTGTTTCGTAAGAAGGCTTAATACACAGGTCCCTCACGGCCACTACCATGTTGAACTGATATAGAGCAAACAATACAGCCATCAATATTCACTTTATACCTTCCATCAATAAATAGAATCTCTGGATACCTTTCCAAAAACTTGCACATGTGTGTTTTTCAAAGTATGAATTGCAGGTTATTATTCTGATTTACTTCATAGTGAATGACCCAGTTTCCAAATGAAAACATTCCAAAGAATGTTTTGATTTTGTGGGTCGTTCCTTCAGAATTATACCTATGCTTTGCAGAGCATACAGATTTGTGCAGCGTGTGGATTCCTCGAACATGTCTTCGCTGAAGTACCTTGAGAACAACTCGCACGGTTCCAATACTCTGTTGAGGTCACTTTCTGTGGTATGAAAACTAGGGTGTAGAGCCACAAAGCTAACAGCTCTCCAAGCAGTTTTTTTCTTGCCATTTTCCTCTTTCTCATCGTTCTTGTTCGTAACGTCTAATACCAATGCACAAATGTAAATACTGCTACACATGACAATTTCAAACCTTGCACTTGTCAGCGGCACTCGAGTTCACCCAGCCGCAGTGTTTACAACATGCGTGCATGGCGGCCAAACATCGACGATGGCAATGGTCCGGAAACGCTGTCTGCCGCTTGAATTCAAAGAAAACACACACCAGGCCAGAAATACAGTAATTGAAAAAGAGGAAATTCTACTCCCTTGCAGTTCGTGTCGATTGTCGTCCTCTTTAGCATCAGAGAGTCTGACATGTTTCCGTCGCCAATTTCTTCCGACACCTCTTCAGCCGTACTCTCCTCGAGCCTTACCCTATTTCTCATGATTTTTTATACCTGGAATGCACAGTTTATGATGTTTGTAGCAAGAAAACACTCGTATGCCAAAACAAAGCATGTTTTGTTATCCGTACTGATAGCGGCACCGTGTACACAATTGTGTACACGTGCATGCGACTTCAGCTTTCAAACGCAATTATGATACGGTAGACCACCTACACTGTTCATATTTGCCTTTTAGGCTAGCAGCTTCATACAGAACGGCAAAAATTGTTTCACTAAGTCGCCTAACCCTAAACACTTTTACAGGGAGTTAGAAAGCGAGCGTACCGGCTTCGCCGTAGGAGGTGCTGGCGTCGCGGCACCGCTCCATCTTGCTCCGCAGCAGACGTTCCGCCGCAGCCGGCTGCGGCCTAAATCGGACGGAGTGTTCGTGGCTGTTTCACGTGTATTTTCACGTCTTCTGGCGTTCTGCGTTAAAGAATTTGTGATACGAGGCGAAACCGGTATTTACCCACAGCGGCTTGGTATATTTCCTTGCGTATTTCACTTCAAAACTGGGTCTCCGCCGCTCTTTCAGGAATGTAGCAGTTAGATACACGGGTACTTTTAAAGGCAATTCGATGATGCCCGCATAAAGTTTGTGAAAGTGCCAGAGGCGCCCGAAAAGTGTTTAACACTCTGGCCAATTCACACTTCATTCTGTACAAGCTGGTATCGCGTGCCTGTGAAAGATGTGCGGCCGTTCGCCTGTTTCCGCCACTATCAAATGGTGGCTAATTCACTCCTGAGAAGTAATGGGAAAATATCTCCGTCCCGATTCTTAACCTCTTCACTACCGGCCTGAAGAAAACCTTAGTTTTTTACAAAGCTTTATTGAACACTTCAGTCTTAGTCTATAACAAAAAAAAAAACAATGAAAAACTTCCCGTTATTTGATGTAATTCTAGAATGTCCACACTTGTGGACATTGGTTGTCAACAATGTCAAAAGGGTGTCCACATACGGGGACATCAGTTGCCAGCGTTGTGGAACTTGACGAAGCAATTTTTGCCTTGCAGACATAGGAAAACATTGCATTTGGTGCACTTAACTCTCGTCTTCCCTTTGCAGTTTTCGTTTCTGCACCGCATTGCATTTTTTGGGCTGCAGAATTCGGGAAAGTGATCAAAGCGGTCACGCCGTGTGTCAAGGTTTGGCAGTTGCACAGGCCTTGAGTTGTCAGTCGCAGGCGGATCGCTCCTTTCCTTGCGGTTGTGCATGGGGTTTTCCCTTATTAGTGTCTCAGCGATGTCTTGCTTGAACTGCAGCTGGCTAAGCACTTGCTTTTTTGGTATGCCCATGGCCTGGGCGTCACGCTGATACAAGATCCATGAATTGCATACGGCAAGGTCCAGAAAGTGAGTGAAAAACCTCACCGTCCACTTTCTTGTTTTGATGTTTATCCGATAGTACGACACATATCGGTCGACCAAGTCTACACCACCCATGAACTTGTTGTAATGAGCAACAATAGCTGGCTGGGGAACAGGAACCTTCTTCTTTGCTTCTTTGCACCACCGCATGCATGTGGCGACGGGGTCGCACCCAACGGCACTTGTCATCAAAAGAACACTCTTATTATCTTTCCACTTCACAACGCACACTTCTCCATCATCTCGCACAAGGCAAGCGCTGTCACCCCGCTTCATTGCTTTGTCGCTTGGAAGGTTTGCAGCCGCGCCCTCTGTACGGTTTGCATTGGCTGTCCCAGTAAGAAACACTGTTCTTTCTAGAAGGTGGTCCATGATTCGCAGGCCTGTAAAATACCTGTCAGTGAAGATGTGTGCTCGGTCATCCGTTATGGTTGTTGCTAGCTTCTTGACCACTGCTCCCCCAAGGCCATACAATTTTGAGTCATCAGCGTCTACAGTATTCTTCCCGGTGTAAACAACGAAGTCAAGGACTAGACCGTCAGGGGAGGCTAAAACGAAATTCTTGAGACCGAGTGGATTCGGTTTCGAAGGGAGGTACTGCCTGAATCCACATCTTCCTGAAAATGGGATCATCTGTTCGTCGATCGACAGTTCTTTTGAGCGGGGCAGTGCTCGGCAGGCGGCTTGGAAGCAATCCACTATTGGTCGAACAAGGTGAAGCTTGTCTTCCTTTTGGCGTGCTGTAGTTGCTGAAGTGTCGACAAAGTGCAGGTGATTACGCAGCTCGTGAAACCTGTTCCTTGTCATGTGGTCCGCAACAGATGGTGTCCTTGTTCCTCGAGACCAGTAGAGCTGGACTTGGGGAAGGTGCATAATCCCCATCAGCAGGTGGATCCCAGCAAGCTTTCTTACTTCAAGTGTACTGGTTTGCACAGATCGGTGGTTTCGTTTCTGAACCGAATACAAATTTGTTTGCTCAGCAACTTCCTTCCAAAAGTCCAAAGGAAAATATTTTTCAAAATACTTGTGCGGTGTCAGAAACTCCCGGAAATCATCGTCTTTGTTGTCGTTGTCAGGACAGTCCCTCTTGCGAAATCTGTAACAGCGAAACGAATATTTAATTTTAACGAACCGACAGAAAAAATGTGAGAAACACTTATGCTTGCGAGGTCCAGGAACTTTTCTTCTTTTTTTTCGTTGGTCGCTGGGCAATATCCGGTTCAGGTTCATCTGCAGACTCGCCTGAAGACTCTACATCACTTGCAAGTGGTGACGAGGCCCATTCTTCTTCGTCTTCCGAGTCCGAGAGGCCCGCATCACTTTCTTCTAGCATGGCAACGATCTCTTCATCGGTCAGGAACCTAGCTGTTGAGCGCATACCCGGAAAGCAGTACCCCCTTTTAGAACTTATGTCCACAAACGTGGCCCATCGTATAGACGCTTATTGCAAGTCAATAGTTGTGAATACCGTAGTAATAATGCTTTATTGCGCTTCCGCTGCGCGTATATTCAATATGTGAGCAGAAAATATTATGTAATGTTTACAAAATATAGAATAATAGCCAAAAACGTACCTCTCCTTCGCTGCGTGTCGCTGGAGCTGGGCGCCGCCATTTCACCTGTTTGTCACGGCGCTTCTGGTCGACTACTGGCGCCCTCTGTCTCCTATTGTGAAAACTATGAAGATGGCTTTGAAAAGCGCCAAATTTAAATTCTTCAAAAGTGCTATTGGCACATCGCCCAAATGTAAACGTCCACAAACGTGGACTCCGGTAGCGAAGAGGTTAAAGCGGAGATTATATGGCTACGGTTCCATGTCCTTGACTGTCCGGGGACGAGGGCTCCCACTGTCTCTGAAGCGCGTGATGCGTTGGAAAAGGAACGTCCGATGTGTTTGCTAATAACACGCGGTCACCACAAAAGCCGCACGCCGTTAAAAGCGTGATTTAGAACCCGAGCGTATACGGCTAATCAACAGGATATGCACCACCGTCAATATTACAATGTGACTTAGATTTTAAGCCTTCTGACCCTTGAATGTGCACTTTGAGGTGATTACAGTTAGTAACCACTATATTCAAAGTTGTTGAAATAAGTGTGTGCACGTGCGCACACGTATTTCTATATTAGAAATTATCGCCATCCCCGATCACGACGAAATATTGTTCTTACCTTTCTCCTATACTCCGTATCAATCCCATGTCGTGTGTTAAAAAGCTTTCGTGGTCATCCACCTTTACGTGAATGGAAAGGTTCGCGAGTTTCTTGTTCTCTGTATGTTACAATGAGACTTAATGTGATTGGGGTCAGTTGTCAACAAGCTAGTGAAGACACCTTTGATTTAATCTTATTTGGGTCAATTGTCAACTAGCTTTACGATTCAGAAAACGAACAGTCTACCATTAAGAATCAACAACCCTCGTTTTGAAATGAAATGACTTTATTTCAAAAAAAAAAAAAAAAACCAAGCGCTATTCTATGGGAGATATTCAGGGGAAAAGGTTGTGGGTACGCAACTTCACTGGCCCTAAAATAGATGGCAGGCTGCAGCGGAGCAGGAACACTTACTGCCAAGGGGAAAAAAAAATAAATAAAAAAAAGAGGAGAGAGAGAGAGAAAGGAAGCAATGCACAACTGACAAATACTACAGGTTACAATCCCAGAATTTCAAATATATATATATATATATATATATATATATATATATATATATATATATATATATATATATATATATATATATATATATATATATATAGGTATGAGATATGGCACAACGGGAGCGTTGTCAACAAGGATAAATATATTTATTTCCCAACAGTTTCGGGAGGGGTCCTCCCTTCATCAGGGGATGAGTTATACTGACATGAGCTTCCAAACTTCGTTGCTGCCGCGTCCCTCTCGCCTTGAAAAATGTTTGCGAGAGTGTGAGGGAACTAGAAAAAGAAAAAAAAAAGGGGGGAGAAAAAAGACGAAAAAGAAAAAGAAGGAAAAGAAAGAAAGTAAAAAAGAGGAAGAACCACTGTCAACACTGAGAACGAAGCCAACTGTCCGTCTACATCCACATACGGTTCATATCACGTGCTGTTCAGTTCTTGACGTGTGTCAGGCCACCCAAGATTGTCGCCGCGGTGCCGGGAGGGTCCGTGACGGCGTGCATAAAGAAAGGGGTTTCCCCGTAATGGGTCGGTCGGCGGGTGGCGTGCGTAAAGGAAGGAATTCCCGTTAATGGGTCGGTCGGCTATTTACCTTTAATCTTCGTCCGTTTCCCTTCAATGGTCATCAAGTGGTAGGCGAAGGTAAGCAGTTTGTATGTGCATGTGGAAAAAAAAGAAAAAAAAGAAAGGACAGTGTACACGTACGAGTCAGTCAGAAAAAAGCATGGTCTCCAGCTATCAATCTTGGTCACCAATTTTCTCCTGGCTTACTTCTCGGAGGCAGTTGAGTTTTCCGGGGTCCTCGTTGATGCTGGCTACTACTGTACGAAATTTGAAGACTAACTGGCCCATTGAATTCTTACTCCCACATATATATATATATATATATATATATATATATATATATATATATATATATATATATATATATGTGGACATAGCTATAACACCTAAGCAAAAACAGACAAACAATGAAATTTCCTTCACACAAGCTATGTACAATATAATTTCTGGCAAAGAAAAGTGCCCCCAGGGTGGAAGCCTACAGCAGCTTTGCCCGCTTTCTCGCTGCCTTTACTTGAGCACTGGAACTTCGATGCTGCTCCAGAAATCTGGAGTAGAAGTGCATGCGTGTTGCAAGGTAAAATTTAATAATGCGTGCACTGAGCTCCTGAAAGTGCAAGGGGCATCCAACAGGACTAAGCGTATTTTCTGACAACTCTTCTAGAATTCTCCGGAACAGGTCGCCAAAAACCTGGTTTGACTTAGTGTGCCGCTCTATGACGCACTCGATGCCTGACAACATGCACGTTAAAGCTGCAGATGGATGCTTAAGAGCGCCAGGCACAAAAGACCTTAACTCAGTGAGGACGGCGGCAGGTGCAACATCTGATGCAGCTTCCAAAGTACAATGGCAATCACTGCAGCTCGTCATCTTGGCTGCCTTCTTAACAACGTAACCGCCAAGACAGTACAGAACAGCCGTAGATGCAGCTGAGCGGCTGTCGCTGCGTTGGGAGTGCGTCGCCATCCACGTCCTCCTGCAGCTCAATCTGGCCAATAACCGTGGCCAGCTTCCGCTCACGGTCTTATTTTCGGGACAAAGCCTCCAACTTCTCGGCGCTGAGGCTCTGCTCCACACTCACTAGGACTGGATCCGCCTCACCGGTGCAATTGCCTTTCGTTGCCATTTTGAGTGGGGTGTAAAGGCTCAGTAGCCTAAAGATCTGCCCGAAGTGCGTGATTGTCGGGTGACCTTCATTACCTCTAAAGCTTCTCACCACACCAAAGAAGCGCTGAAAAGATAGAAAGTAAGTCTTTGAACACAGTAGCCAAAAATGGTAATTTCAAAACAAAGAAGCCCAATGAGGGCTACCTCTAATTGGTCCTGGTTAAGCTCCACGGTCAGCACGTATCTGACATCCTTGTTGTGTAGCCAGGTGATAATGTCAATAACCGACATTAGCGTCACCCGAAGATTCAGTAGTCATCTGGCTGGCAAATAGCTTCATGTTGTTGTTAACACTCTCCTCCTTTGTTGAGTTCAGCATGTCAAGAAACTCGATGATGACCTGGAATACCAAGTGCTGTGGTGTGTAGGACGTTGTTTAAAATGGTAAACACTTTGAGCATGTAAAAGCGTTTTGTTATACCTTCATTTGGGGAGAATTCTTGCGAATGCCTTCTGCTGGGCACTTCGCATTCAAAGCGTCTAAGAGGTCATTCATCTTCCTTGTGAAGCTTTCCGTGCCTTCCGTGTCTTCAAAGCCAGGTTCTCCTTGTTCGCTGGGAGCAGAAAAGTTCGCTGGGAGCAGAAGCGTCGCGTCGCTAAGAGCAGAAAAGAAGTGGCGTTCTGACTTATTCGCATCGTTCCGGTAGCCGCTCGTGCAGCCAGGAACGTAGCACGTCGGCATGGATGTCGGGAACACAGCCATGTCGCTTGTCGGCTGGTGTGTGACGAAGGCTGCAGTAACGGAAAACCACGTGCGAGCGAACGCTGCGCTGGTCTGGCGCTAGTGCCGCCCGTCGACGCGGCCGGCGGCAGGGGAGAGGTGAAGCTCGATGCGACTGCAGCGCCACGAGGCGCACTGACAAGCGGCGGTTCCGCGCAGCTCCGCCGAGTTTTACAACTGAAGCTATTCTAGTAATGTTGCTACAAACCACGTGCTCTAGGCCTTGCTCACCCCAGGATGCAGACCACATGGCTCTCGTCCAAATTCAACGTTTTTGAAAACCGACAAAAAAACTTGCGAGCAGAAAAAAACAAGAACTCAGCCTGTCGACAAATTCAAACACGTCACAAAACCGATCTTCTCGCTCCTCAACAAAGCACACTGCCGACGCTAGCAAAGAAGTCCCCCCTGGGCCTACTCTACCCCGGCTCTAACAAAAGCTTGTGCCGAACCGCGAAGTCTGTCGTCCGATGCTCCAAGAGGTCCACGTTGGGCAGCCAGTGTGGGGTCTCAAGTTCGCAAGTGACACCTCCACGCTCTTGGAGTGAACGGACACAGTTGACACGGTCGGTACAAACCAAACAATGTACACACACATTTATTTACATACTTTTGAACGATGATATCGTCTGCTGAATCAATACATCAATTGTAATTAACCCGCAAAGACATCCGCACACAATATTGCATTACACTCCATAACAAACACGATAACATGACACACCCAAGGCGGCGTCACGAATACTTGACTAACCACAAGGGC